ACGGGCGTTCTGCGCCTATTAACTGAGGCCCGCCTGCTCCATTTGCACAGATTGTCCCAACATACTTGATGCAATAAAAGCATTAAAGGCAGCACAAACAATGCTCCATGCCAACATTTCTTAACATTTCTCGGTGCTGGACTTAAACATGTAAACTGCAGTGTGGCTCCTACTCCTGCAACCCACCCTGAGTGACACCAGCCCCCATCACCCGACCTTGAAGTGCCCTACGAAGCCGCCGTAACGCAGACATTGGCGTCAGTCATACTTCACTCGTGTGCCGCCAGATTTATGAAGTCAACAGCTGCATGCCTGGTGGTGCGTCTGCTAACTTAGACCCCACCCATGCTACCTCAACCTGGGGCACACCCACCTACACCCCCAAGCACCCCTGAGCATTTCTCCCAGTCCAATGCGTTAGGCTGTACTCCAACTTTATGAAGAGCCCCTCCTCCCCAACTTCACCCATTCTTTGAGCTCCGGCTGTCAGCAACAACAAACAGCGTGAGCATGTCGCTGATGGACGACAGGTCAGGGTTGCCCTTCTCCATTTCCCTGACGAGGTAGGCTTTGTCATATGGGTGCGCGAACTCGTTGCGCTGGCGCATGAGCTTCAGCAGCGCCGGTAGCTGTTCGAAGGCGTTGGCGTTGGCTCCCTGGGACACCGCGAACTGCTGCAGCAGCGCCTTGAGCATATCGGCCTTTTCGGTTTTCCCCTTTTTGCGAAGCTTTTGCAGCTCACGCGAAGCCTCCGACAGATTGTCGTAGGGGCCGAAAGGGTGCTTCTCGAGAAAGTCGTTCAGCTCCTCCACGACAACACCCTCGTTCTTGAAAACTGCGTCCACCGCGCACAACTTGACCTGCAACAGAGGAAGCATGAGGGGAGACCATGCACAGTTGAGGGCCGTCCAAGGAATTGAGAATCTAGAGGGGTACTCCGACTCATATGCATAGTTTGACAGGCAATGCTGGCCTCTGCTTTCCACAAAGACTTCCTTCAAGGTCACCTTGTTCATGCCTGAACTGGCCAAGCCGGACAGGTCGTAGAGCTCGGCTTTCGCCTTCAGCTGAGGAATCGACGTGTCGGGAACGCTGCCTCCGTCCAAAACGACATGATTCCTATCCTTGCGAATAGCATCCCCTGGCATGACTTGCTCGTATACCCGTCCAGAAGGAATTTTTGCTTGTAACAGGGTGTTTCCACTTGTCCGAACACTATCTTCGGTACACTATGTGCTAGTGTGGACTTAGTGTGGACGGTGTTTCCACTAGCGGCACTAAGGAGCGCCGAAACCAAAATTGTTTTCGTATTTTGAACGTTTTAGCGCCAGGGATTAATTGCTGATAATTGTCAAGGTCTGTAAGAATTCGCGTAGTAGGATCCGCTGCGGCGCAGCCTGCGTCATGATGTCCGCCATGAAGTCCGCATGGTGCATTGGCAACGTCCGGCCAGCGAAGGAAGGCAAACTAGCGGTATATGTTTGCTGAACGTTATTGAAGGAGGGCTCCATTGCAAAATGGCGGTGTTCTGAGGCTGTCGGTGTTGGGCGTGCGCAAGTCAACATCATCCCAGTTGTGACTCGCAAGCGAGACACTCGTTGTGGTAGGCAGGGCGTGATTGAATGTAGATGTCTGAGACGCTACGTTCCAGACATTCATTTTAGCTGGCAGTCGAAGTCAAGAGGGATCCGGCGCTTGCCAACTTTGCCCAAGACAAACAGACCACTGGGGCTTCATTTGGTTCAGAATTTAGAGTTAGAAGGTTGCTATGTAGTCAAATCATGCACAGAACAAAAGTACATAGTTGAATGTTGAGGAACAAGAGCTTCTTGCAGAGTATAGGGCCCCCGACCCTAGTGTTGTACGGTTGAGCCGTAATCCTTATATGTTGCTGGTCAAAAATTTGAAGGAAGGATTTTTAGCTGCGCCACTCCCCTGCATCGAATGATCAATTCAGAGCCGCGACGACCGGACTTTCTGTCTGTACAGACAGCGAGAGCGCCACGCGTCAGAGGATTGTGACATGCTTGCGGCAAATATCGCTATTTCGAGTATACAAACTTGCGATTCTTTCAACTTTCAACCGAGTGCTTCTGCTTGACACTTCAGAAGCAACTGTCCGCAACGGATTTCACAAGGAATTGTGCGACCGGCTTACTTTTCATGAGAATAGCTCGTTTGGAAATAAATCGTGGAGCTCTTCGCTAATTCTGCTGGACAAGGAGCCAACGCGGGGCACAAGCGAGCGCTCTTGTGTGGAGGAAGGCGCACAAAGGAGGAGCCAGCTTCCGCGTGCTCTTCCGATCTGAAGGTGGGTTGGTGTGAGCAATGCTTTGTGGGGAGAGGCTGGCGGGGGCTGGCCATCCGCTGCCGCCCCACCACCATCGCCGTCACCGTCTCCACCGGCGCCAGCTCCATCCCGCACCCCTTCATCGTCGCCCACTATGGGCACCCCCGACTCGTCCTGATGCCTCCTCGACACGTTCCGCAGAACCTGCGGTACTTCCGTGCAGCCGCCTCATCGACGCTTGGCCTTGTCCCACATGCTCCCCAGGTTGCCCTGCACCAGTGCCACCATGTTGGCTGGCACAGGCGGTGCATTTTGAGCAGGTGTGTGAGCCAGCAGCTCCTTGCCGCGATGGCTGTAGGTCTTGTAGACCAGCTCCTTCCTGGCGCCCGTCTCAAATGACACCTTGGTGGTGTTGCACTCGCCGGTGAGCGCCACGTTGGCAGGGCCAAAAGTGCGCTGGCAGGACCGGAAGGTCTCACCGATTGGGGCGGCCACCTCCCCGCGCCTGGTGCACGCCATGGACTTGACCGCCAAGCCGTACACGACCTCCACCTTCTCAGAAAGCTTCTGGGCGTCCTTCCGCAGGCAAGCAAAGAAGCTGTCCACGGCGCTCTTTTTGCCACAAAACGGCTCATGTTGGCGCACGAGACCTCGCAGGTCTCCATGGTGAGCGCCCACCAGCGGTCCTTGAAGACCGAGTAGGCCCTGACGTAGGCCATCACCTGGGCGGACGTGATGGCCTTCAGCACTCCACCTTGGGAGGTGAGCCAGCGGAACTCGTCCGCCAGCACGTGCAAACGCCCCGCCTGCCAGGCATTCTCGTTGTGGATGCCGCTATCCATGTAGTACTGGCCGCGCGTGAACTTCCACGTGTGCTTCTTGCCGGTCTCTTGTCGATGCACATGACGGTTGCGATGGAGCAGCGGCCAGGGTCCAGGCCCAGGACCAGCATGTCGTCCACTACCATGTTACAAGTCCAGCCGTAGTCGTTGCAGGGCAGAAGGGCCTCACGAGCAGCTTTTTCAGCGCCGCATCACGCTCGGCGCGCCACTGCTTCTTAGTCTTTCTGGGCGTTTCGCTGGCTTTGCCTGCCAACTCAAAGATCGGCTTCTGAACGTGGTGCACGTAGTCGGTGCACGGGGAGACGTTGTCTGTGCGGATGGTCCCTGATGGCCGCCAGCCCTTTGCGGGCGAGCGATCCTTGAGGGTTCGGAAGAGGCAGGAGCCCATCACCTGCACCTTCATGCCGTGCTGCAGGTACTCCTCCTGCGCCTTCCTGAAGTTGTCAGTGTTGCACACCTCGGCACGCGCCTTCTCCACGTCATCCTTCGCTTTGTTGTAGGCTTCTCTCTTCTCCTTCCACGTCTCCTTGGGACGCTGCCCGAGAGCCAAGGGCATGGGGTGCTGCTTGTTGAGGGCCCGGACGGGATCTTTGAGGGCACCTTTTTTCATCAGCACCAAATACGATGGGTTCTGCTCCTGAAAGGTCTTGAGCCGAGCCCGGTACTTATCCCATTCTGCCTTCACCTTGGCATATAGTTCATGTGCAGCTTTCAGCTCGTCTTTCTTGCTGTACTGCCTTTTGGTCGGCGCCGTCGGTGGCGGCTGCTGTGGCTCCTGCAGGCACCACCTGGCCACGTGATACAGGGTTGTGGGGTCCAGCACCAGGTGTGACCAGGCAACGCTCCACACAGGGGTCATCATCAGCAGCTGAGCATTGAACTCGGCGAAGTGCCGCTGGAGCCACCACTGGAAGCTCAGCCGGTTGGAGTAGAGCTGAGTTTTCGTGTATGGGGTCAGAACCTCGTTGGATTCTAGCCTGAGTGTGGAGCGAACCTCGGCAGGAAACACCTCGAGTGCATCGGGCCAGCTGTCAGGGACGTCGTTCTCCTGGAGTGCCTCCAGCAGCTGCCAGTCCTTCACTTGCTGACCGTTGGCGTTCCTGGATGCCATCAGCTTGCACAAGCGCTTCAGCTTGGCCATGAAGTGAGCGTCCAGGTTGTTCAGCATGGCTGTCTTGAACTGGTTCGCCGCGTGACCAAGCACGTTGTTGAGGAATGGTGGCTTGGTGCCGGCCGGCCCCGAGAGACGTACCCAGCCAGGAGATTTGGCTCAGCATCCGTGCATGCGCGGATATCGGCCATGACAGCCACGTCTAAAGGGCTGTGCAGTGTGGGAGCATCGTCCTCCTCGTCGTCATCATCTGCAGCATCGCCGCCATCCTGAACATTTTCAAACTTCGAAAGTTAAAAGTGTAGCAGGTGTCGCCAGAAGGTGTCGCTGAGCTTGTCCCACTCCACTGGCCGGGGTTGGCCGTCTACCTATGCTTTTAAAAGCGACGTAGTGTGGTAAACATATGTTATCTTTTCTCTTTGCGTTCTCTGTTCCCGGAAAGATGCGCATCATCCCCGCAACACTCCTGGCCTAAATAAGCTCATCTGCATGTCCACCACCACCACCATCACCACCACCGACGATGACAGGGAGCGCACTCTACGCAAGCTGTACTTGGCGGCGGCGGTGGGCTGCCCGAGTGGGACCAACCCGCCCTCATCCTCACCCTCCATTGCTGCCGCCGCTACTTCCGCTGTAGCGGGCACCTGCTGGGCCCCGGCCGACTGCATCCAGAACGTTCCACAATGCGGCGGCGGCGGTGGCGGCGGCGGTGGCGGTACACGAGGCGCCGCAGTCGACAGTGATCGTTGCCCCTCCCAAGGTCTCGCCAACCACTTCCTGCACTCCTTTTTCGTGGATGCCCCCATTGACCGCCATCCAGTGCATGCGGTGGCTCACAGGGTTGCAGCCACGGGTGGGTACGGTGGGGTTGATAAAGGGGTAAGAAGGAGGTGGGTGGGCGTGGCCGTAGGCTGGCCCTCGGCCCCGTCCTTTCCTTTGGAGGCCCCGCTTCATGATGATATGGAGGCGGCGCTGGCGGCGCTGGGACTGCCGCAGCCTGACGCCGCAACGCTGGCGGAGGCTGCAGCTGAAGCGGAGGAGTGGTGCCGTACTGCCTCTCACGGTAGAGGAGGAGGAGGAGGGGCCGAGGCGAGGCGGCGTCGGGGGTTTCGGTAACACTTGGAATTGTGTGTGCGTGTGTGTGTATGTGTGTGTGTGTGTGTGGTGGGAAAGACGGGGTTGTCTGGGGGAAGGCGAAAGGGGGAATCGGACTTGTTTCGTACCTTTCAAAGCGGTGATTGACGTGCGACGTGTGTACTCGTCTGTGCCTGTACGCCTGTTGTTGGACTCCGCTTCTTGGGGCAGCTGGTGCGAGCACTTTTCTCGTCGGAGAACAAGCTGTAGTTGCTATATCGTTTCCGCGAGTTAGAAGCGCGTTTATGTCAGCAGCAGCGCAGCAGACGTGACATCTTGATCCAATACCCAGGAAGTGGTTGAATGCGGAGGGGGAGGGGGAGGGGGGAGGAACGCTCTGATACGGTTGGCGGAAGTTTCAACAAAATCTCTAGGTATGCCGTACAAATTGCCATACACTTCCGAATATTCAAGAAATTTACCTTCATTTATCATTTTCAGAAAATCATTTTTTGAGCACGCGCGGTTTGCCTTGCCTTACCATTTTCATAAGGGCAAGCATTTCTCCAGTCGTGGTTTTTCTCTTAGGTAATCGGAACGTCGGCTTCTTTTTCGGGACCTTTTCCATATGCTGGTTTGTCGCTTGTGTGTCTTGTCGCTTTCATAATCGTCTCTGTATCTATATTAACGATTAATTTACGTAGGCTTGTCTCGTGTTTGACGCCTAATCGGGTTCTTTCTGGCCTAACGTTTACCGCTGTATACTTGCAGTGTACATAGGTTATGCGCATCCAGGCAGCAGCGCACTATCGGCGATATGGCGGTCCGTGGGGACATTTACTCTGTAATGACACTCCTTCCTTCCATTGTATCTTTCATTCAACATGAACATTTCAACTGATGCATGTTACGAAAATGTGTCACACAGACCATTAGGAGGTTGACACGCAATCCGCTTGAGGTGAAGACCTCACCATCTGGTAGCACCATCGCCACCTCCTAACCGCCACTACTAACCGTCAACCACCGGGGCCCCCTAAGCTCCCCAACACAACGACCTAAGAAGGTCCGGCTGGCCGCAACGGCCGCCGTCGAGCTGCAAGTCCGGCGCCCCATGGCCGGCTACCGCCGCTGCTACTGCTGCTACCGCCACCGTTCTTGGATGCCGTTCCGCCCCCGATACTTCCAAACTGCTGCTGTAGCTGCTGCTGCGCTACAGCCCTGTTCTCCCGGTTTGTCTCTGTCCGGGGCATGCTGGACTCATCACCAGTCCCAGACTCTGACCCCGACCTGCCCTCCATCGTCTGCTGGCCTTCCGTCAGTTTGATACCTGCGTGTGTACAGGGGTAGAACGGGGGCTGGTGTGATCGTGGTGTGCCGAGGTATCTCCCCCATGTCGTCGCATCATTGTCGTTGTCGTCGTCGACATCCTTGTCGCACGCGTCATCATCCTTGCACGCGTCGAAATGACATGGATTTATACTTGTGCTCTCGCCGCTGCACTGGGGCTTTTAATTTGTACGAAGTCCTACCTCCTAAATAGCTCCTCCTTCCCAACACGCTTACAAGCGAGGCTTGCCTTTCCCTCAGCAAGCGACAGGAAAACACATTGAACACGTCCCCAAAACACACGCGCCGACACGCACCTTCCTCAGCTGCCCACTGCATAAACACGCGGCTGTAGTCCTCCCGAGCTCGAGCCAGAGCCTCCTCTGAGGGGGCCGACACGCCCGCCTGCCGTAGAACATCATCGGGAAGCCGTACACCTGTCATAACGACCAACGGGTTGTCGTACCGTGGAGCACGGAAGTAGTATAGCCGGAGCCGGAGCCGCGTGGGGATGGGGGAAGGGCGAGGAGGGGGTTAGGGGTAAGCGACGTGGAAAAGGTGAGTGGTTGGTAGGTGCGGGATGGCGATTACTTTTATCGCCGAGTTTCTGTAATAGGAGTTGCGGAGTAAAATACAACCAGAGCATACACTAATCACAATTATGTATTTACCCGATTTTCATATAATAAATATACGGTGTTCAAACCCAAATATACATTCGAGACCCTAACATCGAGACCGAGGCGAAAGGCATAAAACCGAAAAGAAACGTACCCATGGCGACCGCCTGTGCGAGTGTGTCTTCCAAACTCAGTCCCTCCTGGTGGGAGGCCTCCATCAGCTCCCGCAGCTTCTCAGCGTCCAGGGAGGCGCCGTACTCCTGTCAAGGAACAGAGGCGCATGTACGGCGCGTACGGCAGGTGAGCATTTCTTATTTACAAGTGCAGTAACTGATTGCTGGTAAAACAAATTGCAAGTTTTTTGTAGGCGGAAAATGTGAAGGCAGAAAAATATAAAGACACCTGAGACTTCGAACACGTGTTTTTTTTAAAAAAACATGTTGAGCCAACTTTTTCGCCCGGTCAGCATTTTGTATGGCAATCGAAAAGTACGGCATCGAAATCCCTCTTAACAACCCACCTCATGTTCATCCTCATCTGACTCCTCACTCTCGCCTTCCTCCTCGACATCGCCCTCTGTGTCGTACACGTCGTCCTCGGCGTCGTACACGTCGTACTCTTGATCCGAACTGCCGCGCCCGCCGTACATGCCTTGTCCAAGCTGCATCCCCTGCGACGAAGCATCCAGCAACGTCGCTGCACCCGCCAAGTCACCTCCTCCCATCCGCCTCTGTCGTATCTGCTGCTGCTGCTGCCGTACTTCTTGCTGCCGTAACCCTTGATGTCTCTGTTGCGGCTGCTGCTGCGCTACCTGCTGTAGCAGATGTTGCTTTTCCTGCTGCTGCACTTGCTGTTGCAGTCGCAACCGCTCCTGGTATTCCACAAACTGTCGTTTCTGTTTGTCGTTGAGGCGGCTCAGGTCCATAAACTGTACTTTCTTCTCTGCGAAAGGGCTCGAAAGCAGGGAAGGAGCAGAGAGGGGGGAAGGCAGAAGGGAGCGCATGGAGGCTCATAAGGCCCATGAAGGCGGGACGGCGGGAAGGAATGGAGGAAGAATTTACTCCGCGCGAATGTCTCCATTAAGACACAAGATTTCAATGTTTTATTGTTAAAAGCGATCAGGCCCTGGGGGCCGATCCCTGCCCCTCCTTCGAGTTAGATGCACCCCAGCTCCCTCTCACCTTGTACCGCCCTCGCTATGTCGGGTCGAAGCTCCAGGAGGGGCTTCATCACAGGGTCAGGATCCGGCGGCGGCGACGGCCCGTACGGCCGGCGGCGCTGTGCACGCGCCGCCGCAGGTGGCGCCTGTGGCGGCAATGGCGGCGGCGGTGGCGCTCCCGCTGCCGCGGGAGCCTTCGCCGACTTTAAACCTGCAAATAGACTTCCGCGACGCCTCTTCGACACTGCGCCGCCGGGCTCCTCAGCAGCACCGGCTGCAGTCGATGGCGACGAAGCCGGCGGCAGCGTAGCGCGTGCATCAGGCTTTGGCGGTGGCGGTGGCGGCGACGCAACGCCATACCGCTCGTCCAACATCCTCTGGATTTCCTGCGGCGCCGTGCCGCTGCGCGCAGCTTCTCGTACCTGCTGGAGAAGGCCGCCGCCGCCGCCGCCGCCGCCACTAACGCCACCGCCACTGGCGGCAGTCGCAGCCGCCGACGCCGCCGCGCCGCCAGATCCCGCTGGACCGCCAAAGTTCGTGACCTGTCGGCTATGACCGATACTCGACGAAGACAACGGTGCCGATGCTGCTGATGCAGGAACAGCAGCTCCGAAACCACCTCCAGCAGTTCCCCTGGCTGAGGCTGCTCCGGAACCACCCCCTGATGGCGGCGCCAGCTGGCCCAGCAGGTTGTCCAGCTCCGAAAACGGGCTGGACGCCTCTCCACCGCCGAAGAGGTCGAAGGCGGACAGCGGCGGCAACGGCGGTGGCTGTTGCCGTGGCTGCAGTTGCTCCGCTGTCGACGCCGCCGCCGCTGCCTCCTTCTGCTGCTGCTGTTGCTTCTGCTCGACAGGGGCCTTGTAGGAGGGCCTTTCAGCGCCGCTTGCAACTATCCCCAGCCGCGTTGCTGCAGATGTAGCAGCGCTAGCAGCAGTAGCTACAGCAACAGCTGCCGCCGCCGACGCGCTTGCAGGCGGCCCAGCCTGCTCCCAGGGGGTTCCTACATCACCTGAGGAAGAGTCTGGAGACGGCGGCGGATCCCGACGGTGCCCCTGGAGGAGTGGCGGCGGCGGTGCCGCCGCTGCCGCCTCCGGCAGTAGCGACGACTCGGCCTGTACGACAAGCTGCCCCTCCGCCGCCGCCGCTGACTCCAGACTTCCCTGCACCTCCTGCCACAGCCGCCGCTGCCGCTCTGCGAGCCGTCCTACGTCATCTACTGTCAAGCCTGGCCCTGCCGCCGTCGACGCCGCCGCCGAAGACGCCGTACGCGGCGGTCCCTGCACCTCCTGCTCTTGCGCCTGCTGCCATTGCGCAACCGCGTCGCCCGCGGCGTCACCGTACGGCGAATCAACCAGCAGCTCGTCCAACGTGTCTGGATCAAGATCTGCTAGCTGCCGTAGCACCTGCTCCCGCAACTGCTCTAGGTCCACGCCGAGATCCGCGAGATTCGGAACCCTTGCAGTCGGATCTGGATCCAAATCAGGATTTGGATTTAAAGCCGTGCCCGCGTCCACGGTCTCCGTGTCCAAGCCCCATCCTGCCGCGGCCGCGGCGGCCCGGGAGGCCCTCCAAGCCTCCCAGTCCGCCGTTGCCGCCTCCGCAGCCTCCAAACCGAAGCTGTCGAGAACGGGTGCCTTGACCGCGGCGGCAGCGCCGCCACCGCCACCGCTACCGCCATTATTGCTTCCGGCACGAGCGTCCGCCGCCGCCGCCGCCGCCGCTGCTGAGGTCGTCGTCGTCGCCGTGACCTTGTCGTCGTACATGCCGTACACTTCCTTGTCGTCCTCATTGCCGTCGGCGAGCTGTTGCAAGTGCAGCAGCCGTTCCTGGGCCTTAGGACCTATGAGGTCCTCCAGCGGCGTCAGGCCCTGTCGTACATCGGCGACGCGGCCGGCGGCGGCGGCGGCTGCCCGCCAGGGCTCCTCCTGCTTTGGAAGCCGGTTGGCCTGGCTGCGCTGGGCCTATGCGCGCGTCCATGTGCGTTGCGGCGGCGGGGGTGGGTGGGGTGTGAGATGATGTGGAATGGACGTCGGAACGAACCGAACAGCACGTACCAAACGAGTCACGACGACAACTGTAACAACGGTAACAACGAGGCAGTAACGTA